ACCAACTTTGAACAACTTTGCAATGAAGAAGGTATAAATAGGTATTTAACCGCACCATATACGCCACAACAGAATGGTGTGGTTGAACGCCGAAACCAAACAGTTCTTGGAACCACAAGATCTATGTTAAAGGCCATGAATATGCCGCAATGGTTGTGGGGAGAAGGTGTACGACATGCTGTCTACATCTTGAACAGAACTCCGACAAAAGCTTTAGAAAAGAAGACCCCGTATGAAGCCCTGAAAGGACGGAAGCCCAATTTGGAACACCTAAAGGTGTTTGGATGTATGGCGCATGTCAAAGTACCAACACCCAAATTAACAAAGCTGTCAGACAGGAGCGAGGCAATGGTACATCTTGGGAGTGAACCAAGAAGCAAAGCATATCGACTTTACAACCCAAAGACAAAAAGGTTATGTGTTAGCAGGGATGTCCAATTTGAAGAAAACAGAGCATGGGACTGGGCTAAAGATTTGGAGACAGAGGGAAATGAAAGTCATGTTGAATTTGTAGTTGAAAATGAAGCTTGTGTGACTGGTCAAGGATTGACTCAAAATGGTGGCAGCCAACTGAATACCTCACCCAATCACACTGAAGACCTGACTGCTCCAAATGTACAGAATGGGTGTGAATCTGTTAGCACACTGGAGAATTGTTCGTTGTCAAACCCAAAGTCGCCTGCCTCGGTTCCAAGCACTCTTATCAGCCCACTAAATGTTCCTAACAGCCCGCATGGGTTTGAAAATCTTAGTACATCAGGTGCAAGTCCTATCTCAAGTTCACATTACGATGATACACCCCCTCAAGGATTTCGCCACCTAAATGATGTGTATTCGAGAACTCAGTCGATACAAGAGAAGGTTTTCAATCCACCTCACTTTGATGATGCAGAATTATTACTATCCAATGAAGAACCAAGTACCTTTAATGAAGCCAAAGATAGCAAAGAATGGAATGCTGCAATGCAAGACGAATTGGACTCTATAGAAAGGAATGGAACCTGGAAATTGGTTGAACTCCCGAAAGGAGTTAAACCAATTGATCTGAAGTGGGTTTATAAGGCCAAAAGGGATGCCAAAGATAATATAATTCGCTATAAAGCGAGACTCGTTGCGAAGGGATATGTCCAAAAACATGGTATTGACTACGACGAGGTGTTTGCTCCAGTTGCTCGAATGGAAACAGTCCGTTTGCTTCTATCCCTAGCTGCACGAGATGGTTGGGAAGTTCACCATCTTGATGTAAAGACAGCTTTCCTTTATGGAGACTTAAAGGAGGATGTATATGTATCACAACCAGAGGGGTTCGAGAAGCCAGGAAAGGAACATCTCGTGTACAAACTGGTAAAAGCTTTATATGGCCTGAAGCAAGCCCCAAGAGCCTGGAATTCAAAGCTAAATGCAACTCTACGACAACTTGGTTTCGAGCGTTGTCCACGTGAACATGCAGTATACAAGCGAACCACAAAGAATGGACCATTAATAGTTGGTGTATACGTTGATGATCTAATCATCACAGGTCCATGCAAGGATGAGATTGTTGGGTTCAAAAGACAGATGAAAAACTATTTTGAAATGAGTGATTTGGGGCTTCTAACATACTATTTGGGAATAGAGGTGAATCAAGACAAAACTGGCATTACTTTGAAGCAAACAGGATATGCAACAAAGGTTCTAAAAACTGCAAATTTGTGGGAGTGTAATCCTGCAAAATTTCCTATGGATCCAAGTCTCAAGCTTGGAAAAGATGAGGAGCTCGAGTCTGTT